TGTTGTGAGTTTGAGGCCAGCCTAAAATAATAGTGAATTCAAGGTCAGCCTGAATTACAAAGTGAGACCCTGTTTCAAAAAACCAAAACCAAAAAATTAAATTTTATTTTATTTTATTTTAAATTAAAATGTAAACATTTAAGTAAAATGAAAAAAAAATTTAAGTAAAATGAAGGACTGAGTGGAGATTTAGCTCAATATAAAGAAAGGCCCTGGAGGGCTGGCCAAATAGTTTAGCAGATTAAAGGTCCTGCAAGCAGGTCCAGGGGCCCAGGCTTCAATCCCTGGGCATGCCTATCGGCCCCGCCCCCAGGGTGCACTGAGACTGCAAGTGGTGGTGTGTCCTGTAATCCCAACTCTTGGGAGGCTGTAAACAGGTGGATCACTACAAGTCTGATCTAGTAGTGAGGCCCTGAACATCCTGTAGACCCTTCCCTAAAATTTAAAAAAAAAAAAAAAATCCAGCTCTTTGGGAGGCTGAACACAAGTGGATCACTGCAAGTCACATTTATGTAATGAGATCCTGTAGACCCTTACTAAAAAATACACATAAATAAATAAAGCCCTAAGATTGGGCATGGTGGCACACGCCTGTAATCCCAGCACTTGGAGGCTGAAAATAGGAGAATCATTATGAGTCCAGTCTGTATAGTGAGACCCCGTACAAAAAAAAAGGCCCTAGTTTCAGTCCCCAGTATCTCCAAATAAATTGTGTGTTTGTTGACATAGACATGGCCTCCCTACATACTTCAGCCTGCCCTTCACCCCCAGTGACCCTATGTTGACATCCTGAATGCCAAGATTATAGGTATGTGCCACCATGCCTGCTAAATTATTTTCAAAAGTGAACTCTTTTTTTTTTTTTTCTTTTTTCTTTTGCAGTACTAAAGATCAAACCTGGGGCCTTGGCCTTCTGGTCAAGTGCTTCACCACTTGAGTAACTCTTTAAAAAATTGAGCCAAGATTCACATAACATAAAATTAAGAATATTAAAGTGACTCTAGGGCCGGGGAGATAGCTCAGTAGAATAAGTACTTCCCTGGCAAGCACAAGGGCCTGAGTTCAATCCCTGGTTCTGCCAAATAGATAAATAAATTAAATAAAGTGAATCTATGTGATTTTTTTTTTCTATTTTAGGTCTTTTTGTTATATGTATGTTGGAAATTGAACCCAGAGCTCTAGCCGGTCATGGTGACACATGCCTGTAACCCCAGCACTCCAGAGGCTGAGACATGAGGATCACTACAAGTTTGAGACCACTCTCCGCTACATAGTGAGTTCTACACTATCGTAGATTTCTAACTGGTGGTCAATTTATTACACCCAGCTGAATTAAACTAGAGTGGTGCTGGGTACGTGAGGCCCACCTGAGGGATGTTGCCAGTGCATAAGGGCAGAACCGGAGGAGCTGCCAGAACATTGTTAGAGATGCTGTTGGGAGAAGCTGGTGGAGCTGTCGGAAGCTGCTAGTTCTCTTGGGCTGTTTTGCGGGAGGACCTTGTCATCCTGGCTTTCCCGATGAACTCTGGAGAAACTTGGGTCCTCATTTTAAGTACCGCTTCCTGGCTGCAGAGGGGAAGATGGTGCACTGCTCAGCCTCATGGAGAGGCTTGTTGCATTGACTTTCCTGGTGGGAACTCGGCCTTCCTCATCACTGGAGGAGCTCAGGACCTCACTGTTGCTGGGGACAGCTGTGGTACTTTTAGGGGAGCTGGAGCTCACCTTGAGCATTGCTTCTTAGCCCCAGCTTCCTAGCTCCAGCTCAGATCGCTCAGCCTGCTAGCACAGATCTTTCATCCCATTGGCATAGACCTCCTAGCTTGCTCCACTGACCTTTGGGCCTCTCCAGCACAGATCCACGAAGCGGGCCTGCATGGGACTTTGTTGTGGGCTCTAGGCCTCCAGCTGGACTGGTGGGAGGCCTTGCTATGAGCGCTGGGTTTTCAGCTGGACTCATGCAGGATATTAGCATCTAGGCCCTCAGATGAAGTCTTTAGTGTTTATGTGTGTGGACGGATTTCCTGCACTTCTTGTATGTGATTCTTGGGTAATTCATTATAAAATGTGTCCTGTATTATATTATTGCCCTTGCAAAAACCCTAAACCATGACACAGACCAATCTGGAAACAAAACAAAACTACAAAAATGAGCCCAGAGCTCACATGCTAAGCGTCTGGTCTACCACTGAATTACATACCCAGCCTCCTAATTTTTTTATGTTTACAAAATTACTGTATGTTTACATTAAAAAAATCATACACAGGGCCCCAGGAGATGACTCAGTAGAATAAGCACTTGCCTGGCAAGCACAGGGGCCTGAGTTCAATCCCTGGTTCTGCAAAAAAAAAAAAAAATCGTACACAGAGCTGGGGATATAGCACAGTGGCAAAAGGGACTGCTTG